CAACTGTGACTCAATGACTGCTCTGAAGTGGACTGATAAAAGAGATGTTTATGCTCTTTCTACAGTGCATAATGCTACAGTCAAGGAAGTGACAAGAAGACAGGGTGACATGATTAGCAAGCCACAGCTAATCTTGGATTACAAGTGTATGGGAGAGGTCGCTCCTAATGATAAATTTCTTAGCTATTATTCCATTCCACGTAAAATTGTCTTTAGACTTGATGACCTGTCTATTGTTAATTCTTTTATTCTTTTCAAACAGGTAACTAAAAATAGCAAGTACCAACAGAAGGACTTCCATTTACAATTATTGGAATCTCTTGTGAAAGTGTAGGTGGACCTTCTTGTTTGTCAAGTATCCATTCACTAGTTCTGGCAGATGCACAGGATCGGCTCTCACCTAGCAAGCATTTTCCAGCATTTGCTGAAGAAGAAAAAAAAGGTGCAGATTGTGCCTCCACACAGGTTTAATTAAGTTGACTTGTAAGCTATGCAAGGTTCATCTCTGTGTAAGGCACTTTGAAGAGTACCATACATTGAAGACTCTTCAAAGAAATTAACTTTTCTTTCTACCAAAGATAGTCAATATGTTATGATCAGAAATAAAAGTAAAACTCAATCTGATTCCTTTTATTTCCTACTTCTTTCACTTTCTTAAAATCTAAAATTTCTTTAGTAGAGACTTTGGGTTATGATTATAATGATTTGCATACAACTGTACGTATACTTCTCAGTGCATAACTTACAAGTTTGATATTGTTTATCCATACATTGATGCTCCTTTTGTATGTATGTTATCTTGATTTGTAACTTTTGTATATACTTTTATGTAATTTAACTTTATTTTTTTAAACCTTTGCAAAATATCAGAATAAACTTTTTATATATCAGTTAGTATGTTTTAATTATAAAACAACAACAACTTACTATGTGGGTCTTACTGAGTAATGATATTAAGAAGGAAAAAATAATGCAATTTAGTACAAATAATTGAATGTTATGCTACTATTTACAAAAATAAAAGTTGAAAGTCAATAAAAGATAACTTGTCTATAATCTTTTCAATTCACAAATGCAATTTTGCTCTCATGATAAAACAAAATGGCCCCGGTAGGTAAGGGGCTAAGCAAAGCATAAACAATAAAATATCATGAAAGAAATACTTGTTTAAATAGTAAACATTTGGCTAAAAATAGTTTTACATATTGTAAAAGAATTAAATGTAGGGAAAGTAATAAATACTGCACTACCATTTACTTTAACTTTCAGCATTATTTAAACAAGATGCAAGAAATGTTGAGTGAAACATTCTAAACAATTATGTCAAGAAAAATACCTATGAAAACAATGTTTTATGAAAATTCTTTAATGAGTTTTCTTTTTTTTCAAGAACTTTTTTAACTTTAGGATTATTAATCATGCTACTGAAAATGTTTTATACAAAAAAACTGTAGAAATTATAAGAAATATGGTGGGTGTAATAAAATTTTTTATCCTAAATAATAATGTGTACACACAGGCAGAAATTGAAGATTTTAAATACCTTCTGGATACATTCAACACAAAAAATACAGTTTAAAAGAAAGGACTCCTTTAGTAAACAGCAAAATCCAGGAACACAAGCTGTTGCTTCTCTTCTAATCCAAAGGTTCTCAACCTTGGTGCTAGAGCACCCCTGTACCACTTTCCCATATCCCTACCATTGAGTTGAACCAAAACTTTCTCACACTATTAAATGTTTTTAATTGATATTTAAAAGGGATTCATTTTTTTTCAATTCAGAGAGTTTCTTCTAAATTTATTTCTTAATGTCCTGTAGATCTCTTCCTTCAGGTTTGCACTGCAACACAGACTATTTGACATGGTACAAAAATTAAGTTTCTTTTTTCATGCCCACAATTTGCTTTTCTTTCTATCATTTTGGCTCACCAAGATAGACGTGATATTTTTGCCTAGCTCTTGTGGCTGACCTCAAAAGCTCTTTTGTCATCTCTACATTTGTAACTCCTCCAATAGCTTTAACATGATCAGCAAAGACTCTCTGTGTCACCAATGATTGGTCTGGCAGATTCTCCACAACAAATTTTTTTATTTACAGAGAACC